CATTTGTACTGAGATTAGATTACACACAGGTGGACCCTTTTGAGTCATTAGCAGTCATCAGGCAACTTCTGAATGCACGTCGCACTTTTCAGTTTTTTATTTGTAAAAAATGTTTTGATTCATGTAAAATTTTGCTTCCACTTCACAATTGTATACCACTTTGTGTTGGTCTTTCACATTAAATTCCAGTGAAATATATTTATGTTTGTGGTTGTAATGTGACAAAATATGGAAAAGTTCAAGGGGTATGAATACTTTTGCAAACCACTGTAAAACAAGAATGCATAGTATACTAATGAAGCAAAAAGACTCAAAGTACAATAATTTATCTGAGAGTATATAAGTTAATTAGGTTCACAATATGTTTAGTGTTGACAAAAATTAGTGCTAAGCATTATCTTACACTATACTATTTTATTTTAACCTATCAATGTGTGAATTTTCACCATTTTAATGTGACTGTTCTGATTACTTAAAATACATCATAATGTGATTTTGTAGTGTTTCTGTGCCATTGTACCCTAAAGGTTAACACTTTGTAAACCTATTAGGAACAGTTTAAAATGTATATATGAAGAAAGGTTTTTGTTCTTCATAAATTTTGCAAGCTTTTGATGCTCCACAGGAGCCACTGAGGCAGCCTCCACCTCCTCCTCATCTTCCTCCAGTTTTGTAAATGGAGCTACGAGTAAAAACCTTCCAGCTGTGCAAACGGTGGCCCCCATGCCTGAAGACACTGTTGAAAATATGAGGTAAAACACAACTTTACCTTATACAAGAAAATAGTCTCATAGGTAAAGAGGTGAATTGAGTGTTTTGAAGATTTTCCTTATGTGCTTGGATATTTATTATAAATTTACTAACCTATTTTACATTATTGAACTAAGATTGGATCAACAATCATATCATCATTGACTTTTTTAAATCTTAATTCAAAATAATTTAAAGATATTTCTTTCAAAAAGGTTTTGTCCAAATATTTTTTTGTTTATGTGCATGTGTGTAAATCTGTTTACCTGGTTGTGACCTTGTCTCATCTCCCAGACTTGCTCTAATAGTTTGTGGCAGACATTCAAAGGTCTACTCCCCCACTGCCTGCTGAGAGGCCGTGTTTTTTTTCTCCAGAGTCTCTCAGCCTCCTCGCCTCTTTGCCCGAGTGTGTTGTGCTGGAGGAATAAAGATGTGGTTGCCATGGAAGCAATAACTGACATCACTTAGAGAAACTCTGAACTCACTGATGGTTTTGTCTGACTGCAGAGCTCGCTGAAACCCAACTTACGTTTCAAATACGTCGATAACTGACACAATTTGAATTCAACCTTGATGACTGTCAAAGCTAATTGATATTAGCCAACATGGAGATGTTTGTAACTCAGTTTGACAGAAAATGAGCCGAAATGTGACGTGGTAGCTAAGATTCATTCACAACACATATCTGAGAGTGACATCTCACAACGTTGCATGAGATTGTACATAAAGATATTTTTAAGGTTCGACTCCATCCTCTTTCAACAAAAGATAAAGGCATTAAAGATGGAAAACTATATGACACACTACGTTTTTATATGATTTGTTCATGAGTTGTTTTTTTCCTAATGTTGTACTTTCTGTAAAATCAATCATAATTCACACCTAAAAGACGGACGCTTCTTGTGCTCAAAATGATTTTTCTGACTGGATCATAGGCATGCTCCAGAGATACAGACCCTGTGTTTTTAACAAGGACATTTACTCACTTACACTTCCTCCTTACAACCTTGGATTTCCTAGGTCATGTTATTTCAGGTTGATGTAAGACAGATTGCTTTCAACAAAAATACAAACCTCAACTTAAGCCTTCCTTTCTTCTCTGTTTTTTTTTCTGTCCTGCTGTTTTCTGCCCATCCTAGCAAGGAAAACAAGCCACAGCTCTTCTTAAGTTGCCATTTTTTTATGTGCGAGTTTACTAGGAGATATGTCCCAGCAGGAATATACGACTGTATTCTGTCTCAGTTGAGTAAGTGCAGGACTCCCAAGTCACAGAATTTCCAAGGTGCTTAGATAAAGTCAGGCAGAGGCATGCAGTGAGTGTGCAGAAAATCTAAACCCTGCATTTGTTGACTTACTCTGACTTTACTGGTGATCTTAGTTACATATCCCACTAAGGAAATGAAATGGATGGTTACATATGTTTGCAAAACTCATCTGCTTTTGGCAATTACAGTCATGTCTGACTCAGTTTGTATCCTCTGAAATGTGAGTTACCTTTAACACCTGCCAAAACTCCATTTGTCTGTGGACTGACTACTGTTAGATGTACACACTCACTCAATTGGTTATTCAGCCTAACCCTTCATTAAAGGGTGCAATTTTATCTTTTATGATTTCTTTTTTTATGTCTGGTATGTTTTTCGTGACTTCTGTTCTGACGTGTCCTCTTTGGCAGCATTACTACAAAACTAGAACGAGCTTTGGAGAAAGTGGCGCCCTTGCTGCGAGAGATCTTTGTGGACTTTGCACCTTTTCTGTCACGAACCCTGCTGGGCAGCCATGGACAAGAGCTGCTTATAGAAGGTATTGATTTCTTTTGGTGCATATTATTCTCAGTGAAGTGTTCTGCCCTCTTCCCATCCAACACCTACTACACAGACTGTCCCATTGATAAATGCAGACTCAGCAGATGGTGTGGACAAGAAAAGCAGCGTTTTTGTACACGCTGGGAGTCTGTCACCTCTTTTTTAACAACTCATTAGGTTATATTTTTATACAGCTGTTTTATCCATCCATCCATCCATCCATTTTCTGTACACGCTTCTTCCTTTTCAGAGTTGCGTGGGTCACTGGTGCCCATATCCAGCAGTCACAGTGCGAGGGGCGGGGTTACACCCTGGACAGGTCGCAAGTCCATCACAGGGGCACACATAGAGACAAACGAGACAAACAACCATTCACTCTCTCACTCACATCTAGGGACAATTTAGAGTTATCAATTAACCTAACAGTCATGTTTTTGATCTGTGGGAGGAAGCCCGAGTACCCGGAGAGAACCCACGCATGCACGGAGAGAACATGCAAACTCTACCCAGAAAGGTCCCTGGACCGGGATTTGAACCGGTGACCTTCTTGCTGAGAGGCATCAGCTCTACCAACTGAGCCACCGGACCGCCCACACACAGCTGTTTTATGGTTGCAGCAAATGTCATTAGAAATAAATGTAGAATTATTTAGTGGTCTTTGTCTCATTCAGTGTTTTGGATCGTCTTTATTTTAATTTTACTAAACATATCACAAGTTACTGACGCCTTGTTAAATGTTTTAGTGAATCATGTGGTGTTATAGAAAACATTGCTATTGAAAATAAAGTGACATTGATCTAATTTAAACCCGAAGCTTTAGCCACAGGCTCGATACATGCTGTTAAAATTAGATGCAAGGCTTAAAGACTTCAGAAAGTGAGGTTTTTATTATTATTATTTCCACATTTCAGTACTGCAGTCACACTTGCACATAGTTAGGGTGAAACTGTTTTGGTTGTGAACAGTGTTTATAGAAATCTGTGTTCCCTCTGCTGCAGCCCTCTCTGATCTCTGCGTTTGTCTTCTGGGTGTTTGAAGATTCTCTGTCCTCCTCCGGCCTCAGGTTGGCAGCATCTCAGAGTGCTGCTTGTGCCTAAACCTCATCGAATCCACGCCTGCAGATCTGGCACTCCTCGTCCCCAGACTTGATTTGGCTTGAATTCACAAGAGTTAGTACTGCAGTCAGCACACACATGTGCTGGACTCTATTTGCAAATATTTTTTTTGTGCACACAGTTAAAATCAGGCCTGAGACATTCTTTCTTTTAATTTCCAAGGGAAATTATTATTATTTTTCCTCACTTTGAAAATAAACTTAACCCTTATTAGTTTCAGAAATGTTTGCAGAGATCAAAAGCTGGATGAACAAAAGCCTTCCTACAATGTGCACTAAGTGCAGTGTAATCTGTCTTTCAATTTTCTCCCGCTCAAGTTGTGAAGGCAGCAGGTTTTGGAGGTAAACCCACACTCCAGCTTCACATTGGAGATCCAATTATGCTCCCAGGCCAGGGAGGATACACAATCCCTTCTGCAAAGTTAGAGTTTGTTGTAGGGTCCCTGGAAAACATCCAGAGGAAAGTTCATTATTAGATGTAGTCAGAACCACCTCAACTGATTCTGTTTGATGCAGAGGAGCAGTGGCTCTACTCAGAGCCCCCCCTGGATGATGGAACTTACATTATGTCCTAGGCTGAGACCAGACTCCCTACAGAGAAAGGCTTCCAGCTGTTCATATCCAGGAGCTCATTCTTTCAGTCATGATTCACATGTCATGATGACCATACGTTATGGGCTGGGACATGGACAGACCATTGGCTTTTGGTTCAGCTCCTCCTTCAACATGACAAACCTGACCAATGCCTTCTTTACTGCAGACAAGACTCCAGTCTGTTGATCCATCTCTCACTCCATCTTACTACCACACAAACCTCCAGATGCTTGAATTCTCACTCACCACCATCTCAATGGGAGCATTCCATCTTTTTCTGATTATGAATCATGGCCTCATCCTGACAGCTTCGCACTCTGCTGTGAACCGTCTCAGTCCTTATTTCAGGCATTATTTGACATGATCCGTTACATCAAAGGGACTTTATATTTTAAATTAATCTGTAGTGTTGCTAACTGCATCTTAAAAGAGGGAGAATTCCATTAAGTTAAGTTTGCTAGCCAGGATTAATTTTATGATCCGTGTAAATATACATATTTAAGAGGATGTGAAGATGCCATACATGTGCTAAGGCTACTTGTCAAGAGAAAGGAAAGAAAAACGGGTAACATAGACTTGACAAGTGTGAATATGTCTGTTACCCTTTCACTCAAGGTCTGTCAGCAGACTGACCAAACTGACAAACCAAAGCTGATCTCAGGCTGCAGACTGTAACCCCACAAATAAGGTTGTAGATGGACAGCTGGATCCTCAGCCGTCTTCACCTGATATGTTTAATCCTGTCTGAATCTGTGAAACATACTTCCTGACATGGATTAGAGCAGGTTTAGTTGAAATGATGAGTGTTTCTATTTGTGTGTCAGTAGAATATTTAACTCTGTTGTTCAACCTAAGATTGTCCTAGTTGCAGTGTGTTTGTGCTTGAGCTAATTTTGCTCTCCTCTCTCTCTCTCCTTCCTGGCCCTTCCCAGGAACACAGTTGAAATACTGTGCTGCAGTGCAAAGACTCTCCATTTACTAGTAATTACCAGCCATCCATCACTCCTTTGATTGCCTTGGGTCAAGCCCTCCTGTGCCCCGTGTGCCCCTTTCCCTCACCCTTTCCCTTCACCCCCTTTTCAGATATGTGGTCACTGCCGCAATTATGTTGAGTGCACTCTAAGCGTCACACTTGGAGTTGGTGGGTAAGGGCTGTATGCGAACACTGCTGCTGTTGTGATGACTGCCTCCTGCTTCTCGCTGTCCCCTAAGTGGCCCAGCCTGCCGCCACATCACCCCACAATGCCACATTCACCCGTGCCTCAACCCTGCCCTGTTTACAGGAAAGGACTGGCAGGGCGTGTTTAAATAGAATGCGTTTAGTTTGTCTACCAGCACAAGGCCAGGGTCAGTTGGCCACCTGACTCCTGTGTCAGACCGGACTGACTTATAGCTCGCATGTCACTGCTATAACAAGAGGTCAGTCGTGGCACTCTGTGTACAAGAGAAGGGTCACATCCTCTCAGAGTAGTTGCAACATATTTCTTCAGGCAGTTATCATTCATAAACAAAAATGGATGGATAATCTGTAGTTTTTCATCCATTCAGTGATCAGAAACATTTTGCATTGAGTGGTAAATTATGCACAATTTCCAAATGAAACAACTCTGTATCCAGGGTAATTTGACTTTCAGATTACCGCGTACCTCTCTTTTATCTCTTATCTTTAAGTCAAATATAGAAATACAAAGCAATATTTTTCATTTACAGGTTTACAAATATTTTCATGACATGATTTCATGTTTTGATGACAGTTGTGCTTCTAAACAGTGACCTAAATAAGAACTAAAAGTGGTTATAACTTGGTATCAGTCTGCCATGGTAAGCAGTATTTTTGATTTTGTTGAGTTTTTTCTGAAAGATCATTCTTGCAGCTGTCCTCGATTTTTAAAAAATGTCATTTATTACAAAAAATCGACAATTTGGAACATGTTGTAATCACTGACTGACTCCAATTTTTTTTTAAAAACAAAAGCAGGTGCAGGGTGACTTTACTCCTCCTAGCCTATAATTAGTCCTAGAGAGTTGCTTTCGCTGCTTATTGCTCTTCTCGTGGTTCTCACCAGGTGCAGCAGGAAGGTGCAGAATATAAAACCTGTTGCAAGCTCTGTTTCTCCAAATGAGCTTTTCACACCTGCCCATGTTTCATTAGAGAGTTGTCTGCTTCAGTGGCTCGCAGTCTGCAGAATTGAGGATGGGGAAGAAGCTGTGAATCTCTTCTGTGAGCATGTGGAATGTGTGAATACAGACGTGTAGACATCACTGTGTGAAATATGCTCATCTGTTACAGATGTTTTTTTCCTCCCTTTTTTATGGCAATTTAGCAACAAGGTTCAAGTGTTACAGGGTTTCGTATAGCCAAATGCACTTTTTACATGATTTATCCTTAAGATGTAATATTTTTCTGCCTCATGAAAGTTGATTACAATTTTCCATGTAAGGCTGATATATATTCCTTTCATCTTCTCTCTCAATAGGTTTAGTATGTATGAAGTCAAGCACCTCAGTGGTGGAGCTTGTGATGCTGCTTTGTTCTCAGGTGAGTTTTTTTCTTGTTCTTTAGAGTTCAACTTTAGTTTTTGTTTTTCCTAAATAAATCTGAGCGTTATCACCTGCTGTATTTCTATTTTTGTTACCAAAATACAATGGACCTGGGACTTTTTATAGGCTGAGAGTCATCACAAAGCATTCTCTGTACAAATCATGTTATGATATCATGAGATTGTGCATAAAGTTAATTTCATAGTTACAATTGTGTCATTTCTCTCAGTTTTAAAGCTTTGACGTGCATGTCTGAGTGAAATGCAGTCTTTCAAGGCATGCTAGTCTTTTATTTTGTTAGCTTTTCTTTAGTAAACCATCCAAGCCTGTGAGATAGACACATACAGCTCCCTGACAATCCATGACTTTCTCACTACACCCTGCAGCATTAATCCCAAGCCCTCCTCCAGAGAATGAGCCCCACCTCGTGTCCCTGCCAGTGACTGATCACCTCTGAGCTGACCCTCTGAATCCCTTGTTAAGCCCATGTTTTAGAGAAGGTCAGAGCCCTGATGTAGCAGTTAGAACAGGAGATATTTAACATACCTTCTGTCAGCCCATCAGTCTTGCATCAGGGGTGCATAAGGAAGCCATTACTTGGTGCCTCTTTGTGGATCCGGACTGCAGGACCAGAGACGGGAGGAGGTGGATCATGACTGTGCTCCATGGTATCCACAATCCACAGTGTGCTTCAGCGAGGAGCTTAGTTTATGTTCAATAGAAGCTGATATTCTTTTTTTTTAATGTACATAAACGGTGAAGCAAACACTGAGTTATTGTTGCTCTTGTGATGCTTTTTTGATGTGCAACTTTTGTTCTGCTTCTCAGTCTGTACAGTGTCTGTGAACTTTTTTTTCCCAGTGCTAGAATTTATTGCAGATGAGAGTCTCAGCATGCTGTTAAAGCCCTCCTAAGACCACCCCCCAACACACACACACACATACACACACACACATATACACACCTCTTACTACACAGATAGCATTACTGAGGCTCCAGAGGTTCCTGCCATTAGGGGCTCTGGGGATGAAACCCAGGCTGAGATATTGATCAGACCATAGACCTTGAAACTGGACTATATAGCTTAGAGTCTGAAGCCTTCAGCCTTTCAAATAGAGAACCATTGCTTTACCTCCTAATTCTCTTCTATCTAAAAATCAGTCCACTTACATTACTAACTAATATGGTTTAAAATTATATAATGTAATCATGTATGTTTTGTTCAGTTTCTTTTAGGCATTTTGAGGCTCTGGTGAAAGGCTGGAGGCTTGATCCAGAGTCGGATTTAAAGTGTTTCTTGTTAAGACACAAAACCCCAGTTTACCTCTGATCCATTCATTGTTTGTGATTGTCTGTTAAAAAACATGGCTAAGCCTGGATAAGACTGCATAATATATAGATCAAGACATGCTTTAAGGCTGTATTTTTCTTGTTTGTTTTAGCCTTTTAGAGCTGAGTGTTTTCACTGTTTTATTTTATTGCAAAAAATGTATATATTTTTTTAAATCAAGATTTGACATGGCATTTATTTTGATATGTAATTACACATCAGTATGGCCCTAATTGATATCTTTGAAGGTATCTCTGGTGACTTTTAAAAGCACAGTAAATTTTCTTAAATGGAGGGTAAGCTGTGGCTGACATGCCAACTTTAACACGTTCCTTACATATTTCAGCGTTAATGTTTTAAGACAGCCAGGAGGGCATTTAGCTGACCTTTAGTCCCCCTCTGTTTTGTGAACTGTCAGTTTTATGAATAAATTAGTGCTAATGATCTGACTTTTCTTATTTATGCATACTAATCACAGCAATCATTGTATGGCTGGGCTGGGCTGCAGACACTGCGTGTCTCTCCTCAGCCTGGGCAGCTGAATGAAAAGGTCAAGCAGCTCTGTTTCTTGTAACAGCTTAAACATATAGGGGTGGGGGGGATCCAGAGTGGAGCCACAGAGATTTACTGATTGAAGGCCTCCAGATGTGGAGAGTATAACGGAGTGAAGCCGAGCAGATAAAAGCAAAGGCCCCTGCATACTGACAGGTTGGATTGAAACACCACAAATACTTAGTGCCCTGCTGAATTTCACCAAGATGAAAGTGGAATGAGAGTTATACTTATAAAGACCTGAAAGTTGCTCGCTGGGATGAGACATTTGAGATTTTAGGTGGTGAATTTCTTTCAAAGCTAGAAGGAAGAATTGCACCATTTGCCACACTGAGTCCACATCATTATCAGTGGAGGTTGAATATTTCCTTTTTTATTTAATTGTATATTTCAAAGAATTCACTTTCTCTACTGTTTACTTAAAGAAGATAGTTATCTATCTCAGGCTGCCTCCACTGGGAGTTCAGCTCTCTAGTAAAACAATACAAAAGTAGAGAGCCTCTGAAGTGCTATCTTAGCTGTCTACAAGCGTTCTTTAGACAAGATAACAAATTTGACTAGTTCATGCCTTACCTTCACTGACCTGCCGCCACTTTCCCGGCATTTCCCCCGAGTGACATGTCTGCCTTGATATCCGTATTTATTTTTGTCACGTGAGTGCGGTGAGAGTGAAACTGTACGTGATCCCTGTCTAAATCAACAACAGCCTCTTTCTAGGCAGATACTGTAGCCGGTGAAAAAAAGAGGTCATGGAGAACATTTGGAGCCCAGATGCTCAGCCGTTCGCCAGCATGGTTTCTCTGGCTTATTGCATTGTGGGTCAGACTGTGTAGTCTTGCGTGAACCTGTATGTGTCAGTCATGACAACTGTTCACAAAAGCATTTGCCCATACATAATGCCAGTGCCAGTTATTCTTTTGCACACAAGATGTGTGCTTACCTTGTCCGGACAGAGAGAATAAGCAGTGTGTGTCACTGCTTTGCATCTCCCGTTTTATAGACCCCACGTGTGCTTTCAGTTGGAAATAAAAATGATTCAAAAGCACTGATTACTAAGCATGTCTAATGGTTTCTTATAAATGAATACCCCAGAGTTACACACCAGAAGCCTGTGGGACTTCTCCTGTTTTTTCTTTTCAATTTCTCCTGTTTTCCCACTTCTTTTGAACTGTGGCCTTCTCTGTTTTCCCTTCCATTTGCACCTCACTGAGGTTACAGGAGAGCTGGATTTCCCACAGTGAAAGGCGCACTCTCAAACTGCTTTTTAATCATTTACAGAGCATGTTGTGAGACAGCAAGTGCTGGCACTCCGGCCCATGGCTCGGATCCGTTCCAGGCGCACACTTCAGGGCTCAATGAGCCTGCTCAGTAATCTGTCACTGTACGGGACGGAGGAAATAGCTGTATTTAAGCGAGAGGATACAGTTTCATTCCACAATTACATCTCTCTTGTGTTTACAGATCTTTTCACAAAGGAAGAAAAGATGGTTTCACATGTGGTGCAGAATTTCAGCTTTTTATAGTCTTCATTTTTTCCGTTCTTTACCTACTTGGATTACAAGTTATGGGATGTAATCTAAATTACAAATGAAGCAAGGATTATGTAAAATGTGATTTTTATTTTTTGTCATTGCATGTGAGGTTTAGTTATATAGCGGATTAAAATTATATTCTAAGTTTTATTTTAATGTTTTGCAAACTTTGCAAAAATGTGAATCAGTGTTTTTTAACATGATTCTTTATTTGGTTCTGCTTGTTTTCAGTAACATGTTTAAAATATTTCATTTTAGGAATGGCAGAACTCCATTCAGAAGAATGCTGGCCTAGCTTTCATTGAGCTCATCAATGAAGGAAGGTAATAATATAACCACTGTATCATCTATGAGGGGAGATCATACTGCTAGGCTGTATTTTGTTTGGACTTTTGTTTTCTGTAGGTGTAATTTATCTGGGTCTCTCGGGCTGACTTTAAAAAAAATGTTGGTCTAATTTTGACCACATGATTTAGGAACAAGAGGAGAGTGCAGACAGGTACTTGTCTGCATCTCTCTGTTTTACTGCGCGTCTTTCTCTCCCTCCTTTTCTCTCTTTGGGTGTGGCCAGTCTCCGTTTTCTGAGCAGATCAGAGGCAGCTCAGCCTCCTTGCCCATCTGCTGACCCATCTGGCCCTTCCTCCTGTATGCCCAGGCTCTTGCTCCAGTCATGCTAGGTTTCTGGGTCTCCTGCTGGCCCTGGAACAAAGAGCTTCAGTCAGTGGGGCCACACGGCGCTGTCCAGGGTACTGCTGACAGACAAGATGTTCCGGTTTTATCCAAGTCTGTTTTTTTTACACCTTCTCTGCTTAACTAGACGGGGTAGTGTCTTGTTAATCTGGTCGCCTTACAAGGCGTGGCTGACACAAACACTATTTTTTGCTGCATGTGCAACAACACACGCAGCAGCTATGTGTGCTGTTTTTTTTTTTTTTCTATTTAATACTGCAGCTGCTTAAATGCCAAACCACTATCAAACACACGAAAGATGCCTTAATTGGGTGTGGTGGGGGAATTTTATTATGATTTGATTATGTCTTCAGTTTTGACACGTTATAAACAGAATAAAATGTTTGTAGTGGCTGTTTTGGCCATATACTTTTATTGTAGCAAATAAAAACACATGCTCACTACTTAATGGGAATTTCATGTATGGGTATATTTTATTTTCGCAATGTTTTTTTCATCTTTATAATTTATAATTCCACAAAGTCCACAAGGCAATAATCTGTTGAGAAAATTAAACACAAAAAAGGTTTAAACAAATTTAAATTAATGATGATGACAAAACCATTTTTTTTAGTTTGGGAACTGTTTGTATTCAATAAGCATTTTGAAAACATTATTTTTAACGCAGTTTTTTTAATTAGCATCTTTTTTGCTTGAAAATTTAACACAAAACAGTGGTAGATTACAGACATGTCTGTGCTTTCTATCTCCAAACACAACCTGTCAACATGTTTTCTCTTCTATTTTTGGTTTCAAAACAAAGCTTTGATCTGTCAGCCTCCTTCTTTGAACTGTGAACTTCTGTCTGTTAACGAGTGCTTGTCAACTGTTAAAGAAGAAACAACAGCAGATAAATTCAGCCTCCAGATTACTGATTTTCTTTGGAACTGAAGGCAATACTGAGATGTTTCATGCTCTGGATAGGAAGAAACTCTGTTTTAATTAAGACAGAGGTAAATTATATGACTTAATGGTGTGTAAAACTACATTTAATTCATGTAATATACTGAGTGTTTTCAGCCGTTAAAGAAACTAGAATTGAAATTGGAATGAGGACAAAGGGCATGAACCCTCTACAGTTTCAGCTTTGTCAAATCCACAGAAACTGTGGATTTTTTTAAGTAGTTTAAAAAAAGTTTCAGTTAAGCTTTAGTGCTCTAATGACACTGTTCGTTCAAGCCCCAGGATCTGTCAGCGACCTGCAGATGTATAACATAACACAAAGCAATGATGCAATTTATTTGTCTGCTCTCGTTGCACAATCCTAACAACCCATGATGTTTGCTCCATCTGGATTTCATTTCTGCAGATTTTAACCAAGAAAATGTCTGTTTTCCTGTCATTTGCATGTTTGTGAAAATTGTGTTTGCTGCCTTTGACTTGGTCTGCACTGTGATAGGTTGCTGTGCCACGCCATGAAGGACCACATCGTTCGTGTTGCCAACGAGGCCGAGTTCATCCTCAACAGACAGAGAGCAGAGGACATCCACAAACACGCAGAGTTTGAGGTATCGAGTGGCATTTTATTTGATCTAAAATCAAACTATAATGTCAAAGTTTTTTTTTTCACTTTACATCACAACCGAAAGAAATAAAAAAGGCTAATAAGCTTTTAATGTCACTGTGGTACATTCCTGGTTTTACTGGAAAAAAAAATTCCATCTGCTGTGAAAATAGAATTTGTTAATCTTCTCATTAGGTCCAAACAAATCCTATTAGTGTAAAAGAGCCATTCAAGTATATGGGCTCAGTAATCTTTCTGTGTCCTTATGAGGATTACCCCCCCCCCTCTAAAATTCATGTATAAAGAAGCATAATTACTGGTAGCAAAGCAATGTCCATGTAATATAAATTCAAGACTTTAACATGAGCTTTTAACCAGTAACTCTGGGGGTAACTGATTATTCTTTATTACCCTGCAGCAGGGATATGCAACGTAAATGATGAAAGGGGCCACAATGTTTTTGTTGACACTAACAGAGGGCCACATAATGCTGCACATTAACCCATATCTAATAAAACTACCATTTTAAAAATGTTTTTGTATATATGTTTATTAAACCAACATACAGTAACAACATATCCCATGCTCAAATGCATGTATAGCAGTTCTTGTTTAATAAATGCTGTTTTTCTTGAATGGGTGTTCTTCACTGCGTTCCGTTCTACAATGCATCCCTGATGTTATGTTTGAACGACAATAAAGAGAATCTACATGTGAATAGAAAATGTTGGAAGCAAACAAAAATAAACACCGGCAGTTGTCCATCCCTGCGCTACAGCCTTCAAATATACATTTGTTTTACATTTCAAATATAAAAGAAAACCAATTGTTTGAGTTAATAGCTTTAAATAAATGTAGAAGTCATATGGTAGTAGATGAAGCAAATACCTTATCACAGATTCACAAAAATAAGTTTATAATTGAAATAGTTTTTGTTGTAAAATGCCATAACGTGTGTTAACGTGTGTTTGTTGCACACACTTCATCCACCTCTTAACAGTGTGAGGAATGATGCGTTTCTTATCTGGTAGAAGCAGCCATCCTCAAACCGCTGCTTGATATACAGTTCTTGAGCATCCTTGACCTGCTAGATAAACTGGAGGAGACGGCTAGATATGCAGTGTCAAGAGACTGTGGAGGTGGAGGGGGTGGCGTGCCTGGACCTATCCGTTCTGTCTGCCATCTCCAGACAGCTTACAGTTTTCATCCAGGTCTGACGTTACTTTATTACCTACTCTCCAAGATTGAAGATTCAGAATACAGATAAGACATTTTTACAATTAACTTGGTGTCAAGGAGAAGTGTCATATGCTTTAAAGTGATAAATAATGTTTGATATTTGTCCTGACGTTATGTGGTAATGTGAGGTGACACGAAGAGATTGAGTTATCTGCTTTATGAGGAATATAGTGAAGTATAATATCTGACAGAATTCAAATTTAAAGCAGGAAATTCAATTAACTTCCAGCTTCTGTTAGTAAATTAGATTGTGAATATTAGCTGGAGTTCCCTCAGGGTGGACGAGTAAGACAATCTTGTTTCAGCAGCAAAGATAGTCTCATGTGCTCTCTTTCTATTCAGCTTCCACCTGACACTTTTAACTGTGCTCACATGCAGAAAGGTTTTATTGTATATAAATATATTTCTATTCTTAATAATGCAATTGTTTTTCATGTATATATTTCACCATTTGAACCCCACCTCACCACCCTCCAGAATGAATAAATAAATAAATAAATAAATAAATAAAAATTGTTTGTTGTTGGTCCTGCGGTGTAGCTTTGCAAATCTTTAATAGATCACATTCTTTGTAGAATTATTGGAGTATTTTTATTTTTATTTTCCTGTAATAGTTCCATCCACTGTTACCTAGCAGGGAACATCATCTGTCTGCAGTTTGGAAATGAATTGCTTTCATCCGTTTGCCGTGATTTACTACATTCCTCCAAGGAGCAGAAATGCATCTATCAACTGTCCACTAATATCTTTATGCACTCAAGTGTGGTGAATGAAGCCATAACATTTCTCAGTGTGACAAATACTCTATTAGGGGAAATATATTATTTTGACTTTATTCAAAAACACATTCTCACATGCTATCATTGCATAAAGCATCACTACCATGAAATCTGCAAACGTATGAAAGATTCACGCTGTTTTTCCTTTTTATTCTCTTTTATTTCCAAATTAGTCCAGCTGTGCCCAATATGCAGCCGAAAGGAAAGAAGAAGAGAAGATCTGTGACCACCTGATCAGCGCTGCTAAACACAGAGATCATGTAACGGCCAACCAGTTAAAGCAGAAAATTGTCAACATCCTCACAAACAAGCACGGTGCCTGGGGTACGCCTGGTCAGAGGTAAGACCTCACAAATAAACTAGTTCCATTTCAGAGCAGTGTTGGGGCATGTCAAGTCTTTACCGTGAACCAGAAGCATGGAGTGTCTGGTCCAACCTTCAGGACAAAAGTTACCTGTTCACAGTATTCTTCAGTCAACGGAAAGGACAGCCAGTTAATGTCATTTTCCCAACATCCAATAGGGTCAGCGATCGGGTCAGCAAACGCAATTACAGTTCGGAGTGGTTTAATCCCTTGAGGACAGTTGATTGGCCAACATACTTGGGTGGAAGAAGGGGGTTGGGGTGTTTCCACAGCATTGTCCGAGTCCTCCTTTGACCCTCTCAAATACAACGCAGCACCTGGTGGTAGTCAGAGTTCGCCATGTTAAGATACCCAGTATCTCTCCTTGCCTGTCCACCCTCATTTCATTTAAAGTGGTCACGCAGAGTTCAGTTTGGTTGTTTGATTTTAAGAATAAAGTCCAGAAACTCCTGAAAGGGGTGTTATTTTTGTCTTGAATTACATGCTCTACATTTCTCTTCGAGTTTGTTTTTCCCAAAGGTTTTTAGAACAGTAAAAACGGCACGTGCCCAATTTATTCACATCTAAATTGCGTTTTTTTGTTGTTGTTTATTTTGTTATGCATTTAAATGTTTTATGAGGCAATCAATATGTTGCAAATTATTTCAAAATGACCCTTAAAACTAAATATGTACAAAATCGGTGCAGATTAGATTGGCGGTGAATGAGAGGGATGCAGATTGTGAGTAGAGATTTTCCTAAAACAATCTGAATCTTAACTCATAAAAAATGTACTGGATTGAATTCAGGGCTCTTGTTCAAATATTTATGGAGCCCCTCTGAGAGGCACAGCATTTGCATTGAAACAAAAGGTTATTGAGCGTGGGCGCATTGTAAATGATACAACAAAACTTCCAACAAATTCAAATTTAATGGTAACCTGCTGGTGAAGAAAAATGATGCAATATGCGCTCAAGCTTAAGGCAGTGTTGCAGTTCAGCAGCTTATTCTTATTCACTGCTACATTAACTTTCCCATTTATGCTGCCCTTGTAAAATATAAAGCCCCCAGGCTTTGTAATGTGGCTCTGTGTGTGTGTGTGAGAGAGGGGGTAGTGTGTGTGCGTGCAGAAACAGGCAGAAACAAAGCCTTTTTCTTGTTGTTTTCACTCTTGCGCACAAAAACACTGTTTTAACTTTAATTTCTCAGTTTATCCTTGAGACACTCCAACACTCCCTCGTAGGAAGGCAGTTGACAAAAATTAGTGTGACTGGTTTGTGTTTATTTTTATCCGTGTGTTTGCAGATGCTCACAATTTATGGCTAAAATATAGATTTATCTGCGTTTTGTCGACTCAACAATTGCAGGTTTCATGAGAGCTGCTTTATATTGAGCCATTGTTCTTACAGTTAGAGAACAAACAAACATTAGGAAATAGTGTTACAGTACATATGACAACAGCTGCTACAAGGTAATAATCTGCCCATGGCTTGAAAACAGCTGCTCTGCAGTCATGTGATCTGAATGAAGAACAAGCAGATCCAACCCTATGGTGGCCTGTTTGATCATACTATATGCTTGCCTGATGATGAATGTCCCCTTGTATAGAGTCAGCATAGAAAAATCAATACTCCTCAAATTGAAACAGTATAGGGCTGTATTGATCCACTGTGCTAAATCAAAATGAGGAGACTTTGATACATCTTTCCAAGACAGCTCCCTGCTCAGTAATGACACACTATCAATTTTAGCTTTATACTGATAAATCAAGTTGAAAATTGGATGTCAGAATTTTTTCCAGCGGGAGAGTGATTTTCTCTGCCCTCTGGTACCCTCTGCTGTTGACCTCTGAACCCTGCCAGCAGATTATAAAGTTCTGACTTGTCTAAAGTGAAAGTAGGTGTCAAGGAAAGACTGATGAATACGTTGAAGGATGACGTTCGCCACGTTTTCACCAGAGGACCTTACAGTGACATTATCAGTTCTGTACCGCTGAAAAACCTGGACTGTGATTTTCATTTGATGGAAAATTAAAGAAAAAGGAAACTAAATGAGCACACATGTAGAAATACAGTATATACTTAGAGGTTTTCAAACTCTTTTAAAAATGTTGATTAAAAACTATAACATTCTGATGTTACCACATTACAGACACGGATGTTTCACTTTTTTAATGTAATAATTTTCAGTGAATTTCCCGTGTCAATCCCTACAGCTTGTTTGCCAGCATTCCTAAATACTATGTCAACACACCAATCTAAGACAGATGTAGTAAAAAAAAAATGCTGAAGCATACAAACGTCTTTGTCCAAGTATGAGTTCAGTATCATCCCTGACAGCTGACAGAGGCGCCTCTGTTGGCCTCCGCTGCAGACCTCACTGACTAGTCTATTGATCTTCAACATTTCTTCTGTTTAATTACTTTTTTGTAGCAAAGGAGAAAGGAAAATGGCGGCATATATTGATCTGTAGCAAGGCAGTGAAACACCCGTTTCCCTTGACTAACAGTGAGTTTCATCTCTTGCACGTGATGAATGGCAACAATCTGCCTGTGGATAATAACTTTGTGATGGAATGAACCTCTTTTCTCACTGTGTGCCCAGAGTATTTGGTCTTGCTTGAAAGGGTTATCAATTCTAATAGAAGTACATCATTAGAAGGGGGGTTGGGTACCTTTTTGGAGGGTTTAAAGCCTCAGAGGGTTTTAGCTTCGATGTTCCTTTTGGGGCAGAAAACAAAAGGTCAAGGTCCCTGATAGGATCTGGCAAGATAAACAAACTTTAGCTTGGTAATAAAAACAAAAGCTGTAGAATAACCTTTGTTTTGACAGAAGACATAAAAGGATATATGTCATGTTTTTTGCTCATACATGCATTGATACAACTATTCTTGTGGTAGATATAAATTCTCTGTAACAGCAAAGTAAAATTAGTTACATTAAATATTTATTGTGTAAAATGTACCTCTGTATGGAGGACCGAAACTGACATAATTAGAAATAAAAGCAGAAATAAATAAATGGACCAATAAATAAATTAATACACTTACAATGCAAATAAATAAAATTTAAAAAGGAGAACTTTACCTCATGTTTTATAATTTATTCGACCTTTGTGTTTATTTTTCCAGCTTAGTTCCAATAAATTATATATTTTAGAATATATTTTAAATGTTACTGTTTAAAAAAGGTTTTTCTTTTATTGTACATGCATTTGTGTCTCTTAAATGATTTTATTTACCTTTTGTCCCACAAGTCTTTTTATTTTCATGTTTCTTATCCATTTATCTGTCTCCCTTTTTTATTTCAAGTTATGCGTTTCTGCCTCATTATGCAAATAAGATGGTCCTGCTTGGGTCAGCTCCTCTCCTATTGGTCAACAGACCTGAAGGAGCAGGACCCATGTGCAGATCTATTGTGCCTGCTTGTACTGCCTCAGTTTAATTTAAAGCTGAGTTTAAAACAAAGGCACAGGTAAGTGTTTTCCTCCTTGCCTTTGTTTTAAACTAAACTTTATTTTTACTTTACTAAATTATTTCAGTTTTGGTCCTCTGTACCTCAGAATTCTATGCTCTATTTGTCTTAAACTGTACTATTTTTGCATGATTATTTTTAAGTTTTCTTCCACTAATAAAACAAGGACAAAAAATGCAGCGAGTTACAAATGCAATTTAAATAGTTTATTAGTGTAATCTTTATAAT